TTAACAAAATTTGATATAAACATATGAAGTGATATAAACTTTCAATCTAATGGTTAGATTTACAAAATTCACACTTAATATAAAGTTATTGATTGGTGTAATACTTAGTAATACTTAATAAAAGTTACACACTAGTATTATTATAACCCTCCTCATATATATATATATATATATATATATATATAATTTTATTGATTTTTTTTAATATATGATTGTCAATTTTTGTAAATAAATTCTTACATTTTTTACAAATATAAATTTGTCGAAAATATTTTATCAATAATATAACTTTTCCTACGAATTATTTTTTCATCGAAAACATAAATTTTTTGACGAAAAAATCCGTAGGTAATTTTTGACAGATTTATTTGTCGAAAATTACCGACGGATTTTTATCCATCGGTAATTTCTGACGGATATTTTCGACAGATTTTTTCGTCAAAAATTTTCCGTCGAAAAAGTTATATTTTTCGATGGATTTGTATCTGTCGAAAATTTTCGTTTTTCTTGTAGTGTTTAAGACTAAAAAAAACAACCTTTCTAAAAAATTCCCATTCACTCTTTTTGTAAAAATCTTTGTACTTAAATTGGTTGTATCATGTATTGGTAGTAATACGAAACAACAAGTAATTTCATAACTTGAACTTTGTGTTATTTTTAAAGCATGAAAAGACTTTGTTGTAAATAATACTTGGTTATTAAATTCTAAAGAGACTTTGTTGTAAAAGAATACTTGATTTATAGACTTCATTTTTCAAAGAATACTTGGATAATTGCTTAAAGAGGCGAGTCAAAGAATACTTAGATTGAGTTAGAAGTGAATTGTACAATAATATTTGTATTTTTGTAAAGGATAATGGAACTTGATCAAGTTGATAAAAAACTAAACATAATCTTAGTGGTTGAAATGAACTAGTATACAAATATTGTGTATTATTTTCTTTTGACCTTTTGTCAATTACTTATATAATTTTGACTTAATTATATGATTAATCCCTTCAGCATTACAATAAAGCGATTTTGATTACTAAGATTTTAATAATTTTAGTTTCTAAATATGTTAATTATAAAATTTTAATTTTTCAAATATTGCAATCATATAATTTTGTTGGCTTATTTAAATTACATATATTATAATTTTCATAATTTATTAAATAACATATATTTATTATTATTAAAATAATTAATATATGTAACTTAAATATGTAAAAATTTGCATAATTATAATACTTACGAGACTAAAATTAGATAGTAGTATTTTATAAACTAAAATTGGTCAATTAAAAATTAAGAAACTAAAATTACACAATGATATTAAAAAGGCTAAATTTTTTAAAATAAAATGACACAACCATTATACTTCAAAAGAAAAAAAAATTAAATATATAGTTTTTAATTAATAAAATTTTAACAAAAACTGCAAATAGATTAATTTTCATTTAATTTATAATAAATAATAATAATAATAATAATAATAATAATAATAATAATAAAGTTTAAACTTAAAATCGTCCCCCATACCTCATCTCAATGCTTCACTAAATAAGTCAATTGTGATTATGATGGATTTGAAGAAATTAGAAAATCAATATTTAATTCCCATCACACAAGTAAATAAAATTCAAGTCACCAAGTTTGAACAACAACGGCCTAAACGTCGGTGACTTTTGTGTTTTGACTATGTAAAATGAAAGGAAACAAGAAGGAAAATGAACTGGTTTATGTTGCGTTAAAACCGCATTTGCCACGTGACACCAATTTTTTTTTGTTGTTGATTATTTAATGAAAAAATTATTCAGGTACGTAAAATTATTTTTTTAAAAATTCAAAACCCCTTTCAGCTAGTAAATTCAGTTACTCTAAAAAATATACCTATATATTTTAAAAGTAATTTATTTTATTAAATTATTTTAAAATATGATCATTATTATATTTTTAAAACTATTATTTTAAAATTAATTCTACCAAATTCTAAATAAAACTAGCCCCATCGTATGTAATTTTTTATTTTTTTTTAGTATAGTTATCTAAATTTTTTAAGGAAATTAGAATTTCAAAAGATACTTTTAATTATTTTATAAAGTAATTTTGAGTAATTAAAAAATATTGAAATGAAAGAAGTTTAAAATAAAAAATGTTTTGTGCAAATAATGAAAATAAGTTATATTTTACATAAAAAATCTAAAAGGCTAAATAATTTTTATACATATTTTTAAAACTATTTTTCTTTTAAGTGTAAATAAATGGATCTTAGTTATTGAATTGGGCTTCCCTTTTGGTCCATGATTGTTATGGTCACAAGATCCATGGGCTTTTAGCAATGCAACTTTCATTTTCTTGGTTTGGCTTTAAAGCGTGAAGAAGAGTGAACTTAATTTTTCGAAAAGTGAGCGAAAGTGAGAGGTTTTGGTTCCCAAAAACCTAATTTTCGTATTTCGTTGATCGCTGTTATCTCATCAACATGAGCAGGTCAGGGCAACCACCGGATTTGAAGAAGTAAGTGCTTCTCTCATTTTCCATTTCATTTTTCTTTTCCAATTTTCGAGTATTGCATCATTCGCTGGGTTTTGATACTCAATTATCTGTTTTTTTTTTGTTGAATGCGGCAGGTACATGGACAAGAAGCTTCAGAGTAAGTGTAATTTTATCTTTGTTGCTTCTCTTATTCTTTATCCTAATGTGTTGGTGTCTGTGTCTGCTTTTTTAAACATCGTGTGAGGTTTTTCGAGCTGGAGTGTGGGTGCTGAATTTGTTTAGGGACATGGAAATTTTCTTATACTCCATTTTTCGCTTTTGCCTTTGGTGTTAAGCAGTTGAAGAAGATAGTTGTGTGGAATGGAGCATGTTTTAGCCTTGTTGTTAATTCAACATGTATTTTTTACTTTATGTTTTACGTTATCAATATCTGATATCTCAAATATTTTGCATATCTTAGACAATGGCTGTCTCACATTATGCTTGTGAATTGTGATGGTGACAATATCATTACCTTTTTTTTTTTTTTTTTGTGGGGGGTGTGTGTGGCTGTGGGAATGCTGATTAGTTACTACTACGCTACCTATTTGTAAATTTTACTCATTAGGGATGCATTAGTTTTTTTTTTTTTTTTTTCAATTTGGTTTTTGTTATATATATTGTCTATTTCATGTTTTTTATTATTTGCGAATTTTGTTATATATATACTGTGGAAAAACATCTTACAATTGGGTGAGAAGTTATACTGAAATGCTTGCTATTTTCTTGCAGTTAAGCTGAATGCAAATCGCATGATTGTTGGTACTCTCCGTGGCTTTGACCAGTTTATGAATTTGGTTGTTGACAACACTGTGGAAGTGAATGGCAATGAGAAAAATGACATTGGGATGGTGGTGAGTCCTCTTCTTTTGCATTGTCTCTTAAATATAAGTGGTCAGGGTATTGCGAGTGGGATTTAAATTGATAATTTTACCCTCTTATTGCAGGTAATCAGAGGAAACAGTGTGGTCACTGTTGAAGCGCTTGAACCTGTGAACAGGACTTGATTTATATTTCCTGTAAACATGTATAAGTATATTTTCTGGTTTTAACGGTTATGTATTTGAACATTGTAGCTATTGAGAGTAACATGTAATTGTGGCACTTAAGAGGTTCATGTCATGCTGGCACTAATTTGGGGTTCTAAATTGTCAGGGATCCACCTCTAGTGTTTTAGTTTGATGTCTGTGACTTGACTCATTTTGAAATGGTTACATATATCCCTTTTAGGTGGTTTCTTCTCATCTTCTATATTACATTTTTCGTGAAAACTTCTCATCATAATGGGTAAAGCTCTATGTGATCACACTCATATTTCAATGCTTCCAGCAACCTTGGCAATTAATTCTTCTTCACATTTGCTTGTTATCTTCACAGACTTCTTTGCTATAGTTTTTGTTCGATTTTTGTTTAATATTTGGTCTATTTTGACATTTAAATTCAATAAATGCTTCCTTTAAATCCTTTGGATAGATAGATGGTTCTTGTTTAATATTTATGTCATTGGATAGGTAATTATTGCTGTGATTTTACATACCGAGTCAGTCATTTTGTTCCTAATTTGCTTTTTCTGTTTGCCTATTTTGTATTGGTTCATGATTCATGTGTTTGAGAGGTAAATTGGCGAATGATTATAGTTGTGAAAATCTTCCAAACAGCTATTTCTGGATAAGAATCGGGCTTGGTTGCTTTTATAGTTTATGCTTATAAGGTGTTTGATAAATTACCTTTGATTAATTTTCTATACATATCATCTCTGGAATGAAGTTCAGTACAACTCAATATACCCAATTGAGCTTGGGAATATTGTTTTGCTTGTTTGACCTAACTAGTGTGGTTTTCTTGTTGAAATATGTTTCTTTAGCTACAATAGATGGTGCATGGTCTCCTGCTAGTTTGTGCAATGTTGTGGGATGCATTTGCTGGATTTAAACTGGTTTTAGGAGAAAATCGGTTTATAACAAGGTTTGGGATTCAAAACTGGTTTTAAAACTGATTTTGAAGGTAATGCAGGGCCTCCTGATAATTTGCTCCTTTTACTCTTTCAGCACAACTAAATGATTTGCACCATTTCCATGAGAGCATCTTAAAGACAACGCAGGTTTAGGTTTGCAAGACTTGTACAAAGGTTATGATTTTTGCATTATTTAATATTTGATTTTTGACTTGTTTCTTGCTTGGATTATGTGCTGTGAAGTCGTCATGGTAAATTTGTATTTATTATCTATATCTTTTTTGATGGTATTATGCTATTGTCTTTATGTGTTGTGTTCTTTAATGAGTTGTCTATTTGTTGTTGAACAAGATTTGTTCCCAAATCTTCAAAGGTATGGATGACAGTGGGTAACCTTTGTTGTTGTTGTTGTTGTTGTTGTTCACTGTGATGATGTATGTTGCATGTAAGAGGGATGCTTGTAGAATTAAGTAATTAACTGATATTTCTCCCTAAACTTTCGTTAATATTGTTTGTGAAGAGTGGTTGACTGGATGTAGTCTTCCTCTGTCCCAGAAGTATGGATTTCCTCAGAATAGTGTACCTCATTCATTCATTGCAATTTTCATTCTTGTGAATAATCTGTTTGTTTTTATGTTGATTTTGTTCTGCCCAGTCATATCGATATAATTATTTGGGGTACACGACATCAATTTTTGGAGAATGTGATATTGTTTTACTGATACTTCATCATGGACATAAAATATGATCTCATGTTCATATTTTAATCTAATATAAACATTTTGATCCATGATAATCTGCTTTTTATTAATCTGTTTTTTTTCCCAGTCCCTGCGCTTTAGATTTATGATAATGTGTTATATCCTTATTCGGTTTTCATGTTTCTGGTGATGGTTATTTTCTGTAAATTTTATTTCTGCGCAGTTCGTGAACTTTGACTTTAGAAAAGAAAAAGGAGGTAAGCAAATAGATCGATTGAATTTGATGAAGTAATTAGGAAGGCATTTATGTTGTCAGTTTGGATGTGGGTGATAAGTGATATTGCTCACTGCCAAAGTTCTGCTAAAATCGAGTCAGTTTTAACATTAAATCTACATAGAAGTCCATCAAAATGGCCATTTCTGATGTCAATGCAGACCAAAATTTAACATTCTCAGTGTGACAGTTGATACTGAAGGATGATAGGCGCAGCGCCCTTCTAAGATCAATTGGAGGTTGTAAGGATTTTCCTTGTTTTATTTTTTGAAGGAAGGATTTTCCTTGATAAAACTTCAAATTCCGCTTATTTCATTTTTCTAGGGTCTGACTCGATTAATTTATATAACAATTCATGATATAGAGAATAGTACGTAACTTCAAATCATGAAAGGATGCTACATTACTCTAATATTATGCTGCTACTTATGGATTAATTCTGGTTATATACATTGGTTCATTTAATATTCGTGGAAAGTGGAAACACATGCATCTATTCATGTGTTGCAAACTTGCAATGACATCCAATTGATTTGGGTGTAGTTCGGTTTTCTAAGAAATCTAAACCAAGTCTACATCTAGAAGTAATTGTTATTTTGCTTATTTTATAGAAGATTTCTATGTCATTCTATTGAGGCAGATATCACTGCCTTGAAAATATATTTGGTTTATACGCTTAATATTTTTTATTATCTTTTCTAAGCTTTTCATGTTAGGCATTCTAATTGGTGCTACTCCTACTCGAAAATGTTTTATTTTTGCCAGAATGAAACTTGTATTTTTCGTACGGTCACGATTTTGGACCTACGAATTTTGCGGTGCACTTGTCACCTGGAGCATCTGTTACATAGTAAGTGCAAATACTAAATTATCTCGTGTGGTTCTTGTTTACTTAGTTTGGTCAGGATACGTTTGCAGTATAATTTAAGGATGTGCGTGGATCTGCGATCTTGAGTCAATTAGTAAAAGTGAATGGGCGCATGAGACTTGGCTTCTAATATTGGTTGGAGACCATAACTAGGCAAACAGATAATAACTAAAGAGAAATGATGATACAATTATGAAATATATTGATTACAAACAAAACCAAAATAGTGTAGTGTAAACTGGAAGAGAGAAAATGATTCTTGAATTAAAAGTATAACTTCAGAAATAAAAAGCAGAGGAATATCTAACCAATCATATTTTTATTTCAATTGGAAGCTTTAGTTCGTTAAAATTTTAGCTGGTTATTTGGTTTTGTATAAGGAATGCCTAATGCTGTAGTGGGTAGGACCATAGGAGCCTTATGTAGAGCCTGCAAACTAACAATAATAGGACCATAAAGTTGTTTAAATGTCACATAAAAAGAAGCTAAGCCATTTTCGAGGAATCTGCTTGGAGAACTACATTTGTGGCAGCCATTTTGAATTTTGACACGAAATAAGAATATTCTGGCAACGGTTTTCTCAACCCAGTACAGAAGCTTGTGGTAGCAAGTCTCCTTTTTACTTTATATCTAAACTTTATGCAACGGGAGAGGTATATGTTGCTATAAAATGAAGAACCCTGTCTGGACCTGAAAAGTAGCATGGAGTATCTTTTCTATATAGCATTATATCCGTTAAGAACGAATAGCTTTGCAGGAACAAGAAAACAATAGCTCATTGCAATTCTTTCGTTATTTTTTGCTTTTTCTTGGCTGCTTGAATAATAAGCACCACAAGATTTATTAGCTTTCAGTACAGCCTTACATATTAACAACAAAGAATCTGTTTTTCATCGTTTCTTTTTCCCCCTCAACTCAAATATCAGTTGCTGCTCTTTTGTAACCATTAAAAGATGGAGCGTGTTTGGTTATAATTATACGTCGAAACTAATAAAAAAAATCCAGTGTCATAGACAGTTGCATGCTGCTTTTCTCAAGCAAATTAATCAGGCAGATTGATTCTTAATTACCTATCTCTATTGATTTTGGGATGTGTTTTTTAGACGTGTATATACCAAAAAAAATAAAATCGTAAGGGAGAAATAATGATATATAATTATATACAATATCAATTCACTTTTTTTTTTTAAGGATAACAGTTCACTCAATATTCAAATAATGAAACTACATATAAACAGTATCATACCACAGCTATAAGTAATTAGAAATCTACGAATGTGATAGTATTCTTATTATTCTTAAAGTTGGTTATAACTGCTATATTTTCACTTTTCTGACCTTGAAAGGCCATCCTTAGATCACGTCGCTAAACCTTATCTTGTTCAATCTTCTTCCGCTAAAAAGCCCTAACAATGAAACAATGACAGCGATGTTAAGGGACACGTGGAGACAATGTTAAAGAGTTTCTGAGATGATTTAACATCTAATGTTATATGGTGGCGTGCCATGTGGACCAGGTATGGACTCTCGCCGAAAATTATTAGGCAATTTTTGAGTATTGAGAGTCTATAGTCTCAATAAATTTCTACACAATATATATTTGAGTTTTTTTTTTTTTTTTAAATAACAATACTTAATTTTATACAATGTAGAAATTAATTAAAAAAAAATGTAATGTTTCTGACCATTTCATTTTTCCTTGAGGTAGTTTAGTAAGACAAAGCTTTTATGTATGACGTTTACTCTCTTTGAATTTATATATAAATAAAAATAATTATTTTCATATAAATTTAAATTTTTTTATTACACTTATTTTATTTTTATAATTTTACATAAAATACATGTTATATTTTTTAAAAATAATTTTAATTTATTATTTTAGATTAATAATATTAAATAAAATTGATTTTATTAAAATTTGTTTATATTTTTGCCTAAAAATTTAAAATATATTTTTATATATAAATATCAAACGAATATTAAACATGTACATTAAAATGACCTTAAGAAAAGCATGCATAATAATAAAAATAGGTCCCAAGAAGAGAAAAAAAGTGATAAATCATTGAAAAAGTTAGAGATGGATAGAACAACGAATAGTTAGTGTACATCTTTGATGTCTTATTCTGACATGTCATGGTCATGGATTCATCATCTTGGATTTTGGACTTAAATTGATCTCCTCTCAATTTTACTTGTCATTCTTTTGAAATGAACACAATAATTAATAACTAATAACTACACACACCACCCTTCTAATGGCCTAAGTCAAAACAAAACATTCATTTTTGCCTCTGTAAACAAGTTGGCATTTACTCTTGCAACAAGTCGATTAGGTTTGAATTAAATTTACCCAACTAAAATGGTTCACATAGAATTGACCTAAAATTCACATATGAATAAGTATACATTGTTTGAAGAATGAGAATGATGATTGTTATTAAACATATGAGGTTAATTTTATATATAATTGGTCAACTAATAGAGATAATTTTTATAGTAATAATTATAAATATAATAAATTTAACATCAACGATAATTGATTTTTTATTGAATATATGTTGTAGTTAACATATTTTAATGTTTTCTTACCTAATAGTACTATTCAATAATTATATGTATTCATTTGCCATCTCACTTAATAACGCCTAGTTGTTAATATTGTATACAAGTCTAAGAGACTATAGTATAAACAAACTTTTTTTAATTGTACTTTTTTACTTTTTATGGAAATATTATATCATCTTCTTGAATTCTTAAAATATCAAAATTCTTTTATCTTCTATGTTACAAAAGACAAAAAAAAAAAAAATTATATTAAAGGTGCATATATTAATAAACATATTATATGTATTAATTTTAATAAATGCATTATTTTATTTTATTAAAAATTAATTATATACAATATTTATCAAATAAATTGTCAATATCATATAAAGAAGAATTTTCCTTTTTATCTTATAAATACTAAAATATAATTAATTAATAAAATAAATAATAATATATAAAGAAAATTTTGTCTATTCATATATTTATAAATATTTTATTAATATTATTAAATGTTATGTTATTTTGTGTCTTTGTGTATTTTACTTTAATAATATATTTTGAATATAAAAATTGATCCGAAAAAAATATTGTATTTATTAACTTTAAAAAATAAATTTTATATAATAAATATAATA